GAGAGAGAGAGAGAGAGAGAGAGAGAGAGAGAGAGTCCCTGAAGGACAGATGTTACCAGAGGGGGTGCAACTGGCACTGTTCAGATAACTGTGGTCAGACTGTGATGTGTGACAAAACTTTTCCTGGGGAGACATCACACTAGATTGAAGTAATAAGGGCGGCGGGGCTGCGTCCCTGGCACCCCAGCCGCCTGCCCGGCTAGCTTATGCCCGAAATAACAACACACAAACTGTATTCATTTAATCACTGCTTGGCCCTTCTGCCCTAGCCCTTACTGGCTAGTTCTGATATCCCGATCAACCCATCTCTAATAATCGGTGAGCACCGGTCTTACCGGGAAGATTCTAGCCTAGTCCATCCTGGGTCGAGCTTCATGGCATGTGTCTGCCTGGGAGCTGGGAGTATGGCGTCTCCCTGAGGCGTCTGCTCCCGAGAGCAGAGCGGTGGAGTCTCTGAGCTCACTTCCTCTTCCTCCCAGCATTTTGTTCTGTTTACTCCTCCCACCTATCCTCTAACCAATAAAATGGGCCAGGGCAGTGCCTTTATTAGCCAATGACCTTCCTCCATCACTAGATAGCGATCCCACTATCTAGTAGAGTGCTACTGGGTTCCTTACAGGCATATGGGCGAGAAGTCACAGCAACAGGAAGGACACAAAGACAGCTGTGTTGGCAAGGCCTACTCAAGCATGGGTGACAGCTCACAAATATTAGGAACTTGGGGCACACTGCAGAGCCTACAGACAGCAGCTCAGCAGGTTCAAGACTGTCCTTTCCAAGGGACTCTGAGCTAAACCTCTTCCAGGTAGCTCAGCTGGTTTGTTTTCTTCTAGGCAGTGGACTGGTCTCAGAGTCTTTACAGCTCAGCTTTCCTTCTGTCTGAGAGTTATACTCCGTTTTTTTTATTGTTTACTGTAGCGGGGAGGGGCCTAGTGAATCTGCTCAGTTTCAGGGAATTCCTGAAGCTATTTTGGGGTTATTTACCTTCATGTTTAAGGCACTTCTCCACAGGATGGAATGTCTTAGCCTCAGAGGACGCTGTTACACAACAGACTGAGTTGGGAGGGAAAGGAAGTCACTGGAGATAACCCGCCCCCCCCCCAGCCCTGCCCCTAACAATTTGGAGACCTTTTGGAGACCTTTCTCCTCTTTTATAGTACCGCCAAGAGAGAGAAGAGGTTCCAGGAGGCTCTGTCCAGGCCCAAATGGAAAGGCGTCTTGTCCCTGCTGTAACACCCTGCACTAGGAGGGAACAACGAGGCTCAGGGTGCACAGGTCTCCCTTTGTGCGTCCCCATGAGGAAGGGAGAAGAGTCTTCAGATGTCACAAAGCTCAGACATCCGACCTCAAAAATGGTGTGCTTAGGCAGAGAGGAGAGACATGGAGACACAGGGAGAGCAAGGTGAAGATGGAGGCAGAGAGAGGAGAGACTGGCTGCAAACCCAGAAACACGTGGAACAGGAAGCTGAGAGGGAGATTCTCTCTTCCCTGTCCTGCCTTCCTCTTTTCTGTCCTCTTTCTCCTTCATCCCCTCCTTCTGAGCCAGGGTCTCACAGCTTTGTCTCTTGAGTATTCGGATCACAAGTATGTGTTACCACCCAGACTTGGGCAGTGTCTTTTCCTTGGTTTCTATGTTTTTATCTGTGTGTACAGTGTGCAAGAGCTGTGGCATGCAAGAGGATATCACAGGACAGCTCAGTTCTCGCCCCCTTCCGCAGTGGGTTCTAGAGAGCAAACGGTTTGCATGGCAGGCTTCTTTCCCCACTGAGCAGTCTCAACAGCCCACACAGGTATCTTGAACAGACACAGAGAGGAGCCCCAGGCTAGACACAGTATAGAGGAACTAGCAAGTCCCCTAACGGGTAGGCACATGTGGCGGTAGTCCGGGAGGGGACATCAATCAAACACCTGAGAAAGGACAAGTGGGAGACCCTGAGTCATGTGGATGGGACTGGTTCCTCTGAGTTAGTTTGTCGAGATGTCAGAGGAAGACAGACCGCTAAGACTGACCCAATTATGGCCCATCCTCTCTGGGCCTCCCTCTGTCACCTGTGGACCCCTGCAGTGTGAGCTCTGCTCACCCAGGCTGACATGCCACCTCCGTGGGCCCACACTGAGGCTAGTGGGGAGAAACCAACACTACTGCACATTTCCCTTCTGCTGTGTGCTCTGAGCTTGCGGAATGCATGCAGATGTGATCTTCCGCCACACCGTAAACCTGAGAAGGAAGAGGTTACCTGCCACTTCAGGGGTGGAGAAACAAGGGCTCAGAGAACAGAAGCATCTTGGCCAAGGCCATTTGGATACAGACTGCCTGGCCCTTGGAGCTCATCCTGCCTGGCCGTATCACCCAGTGTCTTCCTGGCAGGTGGCCTGAGGTCTTGTTGGGCATTTGGGGGACCATATCTCTAAGGACATCCTGTGTCCCTATTTCCACAGCTGGCTTGGGCTTAAAATGTTTCTACATGGACAGCTGTCAGTCTGACTTTCCTGCTCTGTGCCACTCCCTCCCTCCAGATCCTGCCCCTCGTCCCAGCAGCTTGCCCCAGCAATTTCACTGCTGCAACCAACCAACCAACCTACAACAGTCTCCCACTGCTGGTCCCTGGCTTAGTTCCTCCTCCCCACCCCAAGGCATCCCACACTTCCCAGGCTCTACATTTCCCTAGGTTGCAGAGAAAGTAAAAAATAACTCCTAGCCCTGAGGACCGGGTCTACACTTCAACTCTGCTACTTACCAGCCTGTGGCTGTGTGACCTTGGTCAGGTCGCTTTCCTCTCAGGCTCTCCATTTCCCCAGTACTCTCCAAATTCCGCTCTGTGTCCTCTAGGCCAGGAGCCCACTCACTTCTCTCGGCCCTGCTCTCGTCTTCCTGGGCGCTCACCATCCCTCTCTCCCTGCTCCACATGGTGTTTAGGTGTCTAGCTTCCTACCTACTACCGATATGTGTGTGTGCCTGGGTCTATGGACTTGTACCATACACGTTGGATCCCTTGGAACAGGAGTTGCAGGAAGGTGTGAGCTGCCTGATGCGGATACTGAGAACTAAACCTAGGTCCTCTGTAAGAGCAGAAAGTAAGAGCTCTGAACCACTGAGCCATCTCTCCTCATGGTGTTTTATCATTCAGCTAGACTCTGAACTCCCTGAGAGCAGGGATGGGGATGATACCGATGTGCAAGGCTGTCGTGAATTAAGGTATGTTGATGGATTAATCAGCAAGGCTCACATGAATTTAGCTTAGGAGCCTGCTTTTCTTTACAAGGTGCACATACCTGCAGAGGGTGGACTTTGAGTGGGCACTAGGCGTCTCTGTTTACCTTGGCGGCTGGTAGTGAAGTGCTTGCCCATACTGTGGGTTCTGAGCTTTGGCAAGGAGTACACTGAGGCCTCCCAGAGAATGCTGCATCTACCTTCTACCTCCAAAGCCCATTCCTATGCCACAATCAAAAGACGGTATCAGAAAACGCACAGGGCTAAAGGTTCTTCTGTTACTGCCATACCTGCTTGGCAGACAGAGTAGGAATCTGCATCTCCATCTAGTGGATTCACCCGAGGCTGAGCACAGCGTGGAGTCCATTTCCACTCCCGTGTCACACTGTGGTTTGCAGAAGATACTTGCATGTCTATGTGGCTAAGACACTTAGCCCTTAAGCAATCAGATCTAGGAGTGCAGGGGAGAAATAGCTCAGTTGGTAAAGGGCTTGCTTTTCAAACATAAAAACCCGTGTTCCACCCCACGGTTCATGTTTAAAGGGGACAATGGGCTGGAGAGAAGATTCAGCAGCGAGAGCGCTTGCTGCTCCTTTGGAGGACCAGATTTCAGTTCCCAGGACCCACATCAGGTGGCTCACAAACACCTGAAACCTGGGGGATCCAACCCCCAACACCTTTTATACTGGCCTCTATGGGCACCTGGACACACAAGGCACACAAATTGAAAGGAAAAAAAAGTCAGGAATCAGTGGCTCATTCTTGTGACCCCAACACTGGGCGGCAACGACAGGTGGATCCCTGGAGCTCACTGGCCAACCAGCAGACATGAATGCACACAAACACACCACATACACACATAGAGTTACGAGAAAACAAACCCAGCCGCCAAACTATAAAGCAAGGTGCCCAGTGTTAGTGATCTGGGATCTATAAAGGGGGCCGAAGGCAATTTGCTCCAACACATCCCAGTGACTCCATTCAGAAATAGACCTGGAAGGGGCCGGGGCTTTGTGCAAGGTCAGAGGTGAGTGGAGACGAGGGCCTAGGAGTCTGAATGCCCAGCCTCCTATTGGTGTCTTTACCTGCCAGCAAGACAGGGCGGCAAGCAGAAGGGAAACGAGTAGAGGGAAGACCAAGGTGTCTGCCCACGGCCCACTGGAGACTTTCGGATTGATCCTGGGGCTTGTCTGCCTGCAGTGGGCAGGAGGAGGAGGAAGTGGCTTTGGGCTGCTCTTCCGCACCTGGAGAGCCAGCTTCCAGATCCCTGGAGCCAGGTTTCTTTGTCTTCTGTGTCCCTTCATTCTTATCTCTCCGTCCACCAGCTGGCAGGGGATCTTGCACCTTCCAGTCTGGGAGCCTGGGACCTGGAACTAGGAGCTCTTCGAGAAGAGTAGAGGGTTACCAAGGAATCCGTCTTAGGTGGACTGACAGCAGGGGTCATAGCCAGTCAAGGGTCAGGGGCCTCTCAGCAGGGGAGAGGTGGGGCTTTCATGTCCTGCTAGCTGCACCTGCAAGGTGGCTTCTGGGCTCCCAGGCCTCAGATCTAAGGGTAGGGGTAGTGTGGAGTACCAACCAGAGGGTACAGGGTGCGAGAGAGGACCTTGTGCACCTCAGATTTCAGCTAAGGGGCACCTGAGGCTGAAGAGACAAGGCTTTGGAGATGAAGAGGCCCAGGGTTCAGGACTCCAGGCCTGGAGCGGCCAGGGAGCTGGGAGGGGAGCCCATCTCTCGGCTCCTCCCCGGGGCCGCCCTGCCCCGCCCCGCGCCGGGACAGCCTGGGCGGAGACCCGCGGCGGGAGGGCGCGCCGCCTGGCGCTCCAGGTGCAGTTCCCACGAGCCTGGGGGCCACGGTGGCCCTGGAGGAGTGGCCCGTCAACAATCTGCCCCTGCCGTGTCTCTGCGCCCTGTCCACTGGACGCCAGTGAGCCTCAGAACTCAGGTAACCGAGGGCGGGACTCGGCCAGTGTTCCCCACGGGTCTTCGCTCGCGTGCGTCCATCCAGTCCATGCGCTCTTTCTCTCTGCCGCTGGCCGCGGAGCGCGGGTGCTGCTTGGGGATGTGTCTTGAAAAGTTTGCGCCTGGACGGCGGTGCATCAGGCGACTGCTAAGGGAAACACTTGCCACCCGCGCACCCCGAGCCCACGTGAAAGAGGAGATGCCTCTGCCCCAGCCTCTCTGAACATCTAGTTTTTCTCCCAATTAGAGCAGCCAAAAGCACCACCCTCCTCATTCTGGCTCTCCATCCCTGAAAAAAAATCCTGGGATGGGAACTGACAGTTGGTAATTCTTACGCCTTAGGGATGTTTATATCCGAACTTCCCGCCTCCTCCCCACAGACACACGCTATGAACCAGTCAGTGTGCACGGAAGGCACAGTTTTGTGCCCAAGGAGGTAGGTCTGCACTCTGATAAAGAGAGTGCACGGCCACATGAAGCCGGCTTCTCCCGTCCCCTCTGTCTCATTCTGTTGGTCAGGCCAGGTCCTCGTGGACGCCCAACTAGGCACTCTCAAGACCAAGTCTGATGAGCCTAGGTAGTAAGAGGGGCTACCGCCTGCAGATAGAGAGACCCAGAGCCCACTAAACCCTCATGGGTGTGCCCACAATGGACTTTCTTCCTTCCGTGAGAGAAGGGCTCACTGCCTGGTGGGGAAAGGAAAGCTGCTCCTTCCCCCAGAGTCAGAGAGAAGAGATGGGGGAGGGGGCTGGGTGGAATCTAAAGCAGCCAGCATGGCTGACATGAACACCCCTGATTTCACTTTCTCCCAGGGACAAACCATGTAGGCAGTAGATGAAGAAAGAAAGGATACCCCCAAAGTCTAGGCATTTGGCTCAGGCACAGTGGTGGGCCTCAACCGCAGCCTCCAAGACCAGGTTCTTCTGCGTGCTAAGAGATAACTCCGCTTTGTTAAATGCAGTGGGGAGGTGCTTATGGAATCAAAAGACAACTTGAAGGAATAGATAGGTTCTCTTCTCCCACCACGTGGGCTGAGGATTGAACTCAGATTGTCAGGCTTGGTAGCAAGCACCTTTACCCGGCAAGCCATCTCTGCATTCTGGTTGTGACCTGCAGGGACCTGTTTCTCCTTGGGCTCCCCTGCAGTTCAGGAGTGCACAAGGCAAGGGCACCTCCAAAAAGAACTCAAATCCCCTTAGGAAGCACTGCCAAGCCCCAGCCAGCCCTTTGCTAAGCTCCCCAGACAGCAGGAGGCAGGACCAGCATTCCCTCCTGTAGCCATAGTGCTTGGCATAGAGAAGAAACTTGGCCAGAACAGCGTGAGTTAACCAGAAACAGCTGAGTTTTTTTTTTCCAGCAGGCAGGCCTTTGCCCTTGAAGAGCAGGAAGGACATCAAAACCTAGGACCAGAAAGCTGCAGACACAATCCCAGATGCCTTCACACTCTGCCCCTATGTGGGGCAACTTCTATCTTAATCCAGCAAATGAAACCATTATCGTTAATCCCACTATTGCGGGGGCAAGGAAAAGCAGTGTGCTGGGTGAAGTGGACAGCCAGTGTGTCCCTCTCCTGAGCTGGAGGATGAGAGACTTCGTCCCACCTTGTAGAATTCTTTCCCACTCCTCAGGAGGTCTCATTTGGAAACATTAATGTCATTGCCTTTTCTTTATTTTTTAATATTTTTAAATTTTTATTTATTTTTATTTTATGTGCATTGGTGTTTTGGCATGGGTGTTGGGTCCTCTGGAACTAGAGTTACAGACAATTGTGATCTGCCATATGGGTCCTGGGAATTGAACTCGGGTCCTCTGGAAGAGCAGTCAGTGCTCTTCATCACTGAGCCATCTCTCCAGCCCTGTCATTGCCTTTCTTTGATTTTTACCAGCCTGGCAGGGTTGCCAGGGATTAGGAAAGGAATTGACTTTTCTTACCTCAGTTTCCTCTAGTGAGAAATAAGGTTTTATGAGCAAGTGGGTGCTCTAAAGGCATCTGTAGGCTGTGGCATAAATCCAACGGGTGGTGTGTGTGTGTTAATCTGGCTTCTCTAGGTGGGCTTTATGTCTCCCTTGAGCAGTGACTGCATTTTGGTGTTCCCCAGAGAGCAAGCCTCATCAGGAGCATGGAGCATATAGTAGCTCCTCAAGAAGTATTCACTGATCCAAGACAATCTCTACAAGAAGAAAAATTTCCCTAATTCATGAGACTTGGAGAGCCTTGAATCCCTTGACCCTTTCTTCCCTGTGTATGGAGAGGGGAAGACAAGGGCCTGGAGAGAGAAGAGGGGGACTCCCAGAACGCAGGCAAAGGCCCTTAGGCTGGCTGCCCTCAGAGTCACCTACAGGGATCTCTCTACCAACTGATGGCCACTGTGAGGAGCAGTGGAAGAGTCCCAGTGAGGAGGGATCCCAGCTTCCTAGGGAGGGGTGGAGGCTAAGATGAGCTGGGCTAAGTGGCCAGGCTGGTGGGGAGGGGGAGTTCAGAGGCTCCCCTAGGTACATAGGAGGTGAGCCTGGGGGCAGGGGTGAGACACACCCTCATACAGAAAGCTGGTTTTTCTGCCTGACCTTGATAGGCCCACCTGGAGCTTTGGCTTTTTGCCCCCAGTCCTGCCTTTGACCCTAAATAGCTCTGTTCATTGTCTCAGCACTGGAATGCACCTGCTGAACCTTGGAGTTGGGGCAGGGAGTGCAGGAGCCTGACCTTGAAGAAGGTGTAATTTCCTAGCTTGCTGGGGTAGTTGAGGAGGAGGAGGAGGAGTGGGCCAGTCAAGGAAGCAAAGTAAGGCTTCACCTGAAGAAATAAGTCAGGGTGGTGCTTCTTCCGTATCTGGGGCCATTGTAGGCCTTCCTATCGGTCTGTCATCCTTGCCCCTAGCCACCCTCTGTGGGGAGAGAGTAAAGCGATGACTGAGATCTGGTTTTCTGTCCCTTTGCATGTTGGCTTTCTCCTACAAGTCTGATGGCTTTCCACCACAGGGGATGGAAAAGTACGCCTATTGCAACACTTTGTGAGTCAGTGTTCACTCTGCTGTCTAGTGTCTGGCCCTCACTTGGAGACAGTGTTGACTCTTTGGAGACAAGGACAAGGATAAGCCTGGAGACTGTTGTGAAACTGTGTGGGCTGGCAGAGGGGAGCCATCACAGGCAAAGATACAGTCACTTCTTGGGGAAAAGGATGGTGGTCCCCAAAGTGGTGGCCCAGTTTCATCCCAGTCTCTGATTTGCCTGTAAGTTTTTAACCTGCAGTAGTCTCCTGCCTTCTGACCTTGACCAGACCAGGGTCACCTACAGCAGGTTCTGGACTGTTGGAACCTCAGAAGAAGAGTTTCCTGAGCCTCCAGCAGGGCATTTTGCCCCCTAAGGTCATCTCCTTTCGTTAATTAGAAGCTTTGTAGCCAAGGTGGCCTATGGAACTTGGGGAATTCATTGGGAGCCTGTCAGAGATATGGAGCCCAACCCCATAGCTTCTAGATCCCAGAGCCCAGAATCCAGCTGCTTCAGAAACCTGCCACTGGCCTTGCTAACCTTCCCAGCAGCCGAAGGCCAGTGTGGCTGGCAGAAAGCCCCCTAAAGCTCTGATTCTAACATTATCCAACTGGAATGTGGCATTGGACCTGTTTCTGGGTCTCAGTTTCCTTATCTGTCAGAGTAGCTTGGATTCTATAACGGTATCTTACCCTTAGCACTATTGCCGTTTGGAGGAAAAGAGGCGGTGTGCCATAGTGGGTGCTTCCCTGTACCCTTCGCCTCTTCCAATAGTGCCATCATATCACATCTTCCCTGAGTCATATATGTGTGTGTATCTACTATGTATATATGCATGCAGTACCCATGGAGACCAGAAGAGGAGTCAGATCCCCCTGAAACTGGAGTTAAAGATGGCCTGAACTACCATGTAGGTGCTGAAAACCAAACCTAGGTACTCTGGAAGAGCAGCCAGCACTCTCTTGGAATATATATATTTCCATCTCCCTTGGTTGGCTTCAGATTCACAGAGATTTTCCTGCCTTTGCTGCAATTAAAGATGTGTGGCACTATGCTGGGCTTCTGAGCCCCTTTTGACCTCTGGGAATGCCTCTGGACATCACCAGATGTGCCCTGGGGCAGCAGCATCACCTCTGGTTGAGAAGGGCTGCCTTAGATGGTCTCTGAAGACCTTCCTTCCCTTGGGATTTCTCTTGGTACAAAGGGCTTCCGGCTACGAGTGTGCCCTGTGCACGAGTGAGAAGTAAGTCAGAGGGAAGGCAGGGCTGTTTAACCTTCTGCTGAGAGCCAAGGCCAAGTTCTCTGTGCCTCTAGACCTCTAGTTATGTAAGAAGGAGCCATGCGTGTGGTCCGAGCCCCACCCTGGGGTCAGCGACCTTCCAGTGCAGGCAGCATAGTGATGAATTCTGTGTCCTACTCCACATTCCCCTCTCCTTGCCCTGGGAAGGGGCACAGGAAATGAATCAGCTCAGCAACCACACGAGAGAGGGCCGAGTGCCCTTTGAGATGCATGCTCACGCCCCGACCAACCTACCCGGCCTGTGTTTTGATTATTCCTTCCATGTTAGCTATTTATTAACTCTGCCCACGGAATCCCCCTCTGACCTTGTTGCTTAATGGAAGGGCAGAAGATTTATTTTGGCGGGGTTAGGCTTGGGTGCTGCGATTGTTGATGAATCTTGGAAGTAAATCACAATTGCTTTGGGCTGTTCGTTCTTACCATCTTCAAAAAGAAACTCAGCTCTGGGCTGTGGCTAGATACTGGGAAGGATCCTTGGAGTTAGACCTATTCCCCGGGCCGCAGAAACCCCCTAATCCAAGGTATCTGTCAATGCCCTGCCCAAGTGTACAGAGGAGGGCGTGGCCAGCCATGAGGTCCCCTGTGCTGGAGGGAACTCTACAAGAGTAAGTTCCTTTAGGGAGGAGATGGTGACTGTGTCAGAAACTTCACAAGAGGGAGGGATGGGGGCAGGAGTGGTTTTGTTGTTTGTCTCTTTGTTATTGTAGTAAAGCACAGAATATAGCATTCTCCTTTTGGCAGTGTGTGTGTGTGTATGTGTGTGTGTGTGTGTGTGTGTGTGTGTGTGTGTGTGTGATGCACACCTGTGGCTGCCAGAAGCGATCCTTAGCTGTTACTCTTCAGGCACCATATACCTTGCTTTCTGAGATAGGTTTTCTCACTTTTATCTTGAACTAAACAAGCAGGCTAGGCCTGCTAGCGCTGAGATTACTGGTATGCACCATCATTCCTGGCTTTTTTTTTTTATCTACATGGGTGTTGGATATCAACCTCAGGTCCTCATGCCCACAAGGCAAGCACCTTACCAGCTAAGCCATTCCCCATGCCCTGTTTTGAGACTATTGAAGGTACAATTCATTATCACTAAGCATATTTACATTATTCGACAGCTGTCACCACCATCCAGCCTCACAACTTCATCATTTGCCAGTTAAAGCTTTGCACCCAATAAACACCAGCTTCTCACTGTCCAAGCCCCTCTACAATTACCCCTCTGCTTCCTGTCTCTGTGATTGACAGCTAAGGGTAGCTTTATTAAGCAGTGTGAGTCTCTTTTCTGTGGCACATAATACAATACAATGGCCTACGTTTTAATGAGAAGAGGTTTATTTGGTCCACAGTTCTGGCTCAAGGTCAAGGTGATTTGTCTAGTGCTGGTCCTTCCGACTGCCAGTCTGGAAGCAGTACAGAGCATCTCCTGGCAGCAGACAGGAAGCACGCCACTGTGGACATGTCTTCTCCCCATTTTCCTGAGAGCTCGCTTGGAGATTCTAGCTGGGGGCACAGATACTTGTATGCCCTTGAAGAATGGTCTGCCTTTGAAAGATGCCCACCTGCGGAGCACAGGGTGGTCAAGACTGCGCCCTATGTCGTAAGTGGAGTAATCCAGTATTTGTCTGTGTGACTGACCTCCCAGCTGACAGCATCCTCATGGTTGGTGCAGGTTGCAGCCTGAGCTACAGCTTCCTTTGGAGGCAGCTAGGGACCACATTCCATGTGTCTGCTCTACTGCCCTGAACACCTGGGTGGCTGCCACCCTTCAGCTACTGTGGGTGATTCTGGGGTGAGTCACGTAGGCATGTAGCTGTTGAGTCCTTGACTTTGACCTTTGTTTGGGAGTATATGCCCTGAAGTGGAGCTACAGAGCATATGGGAAGAATAAATACATCTAGAGTTTTGTATGCGTTCTGAGATAGGCCTGAGCTGGGTAAGATATGGCTCAGTGGCCAAACGTATTCGCTACCACTCTTGAGACCCATGTGGTGGAAAGAAGAACAGACTTTTGCAAGTTGTTCTCTGACTTCCGCATGGTGGTTGTGATGCACACACACATACACATATACACACACAAAAATTAATAAATACAATTTTTAAAAGTTAAGCCTTTTGAGATAGGCTCTCACTATGATGCTTAGGCTAGCCAGAGGCTTGCAGCCCTCCTGTTCAGTCTCCATAGTGCTGGAATTACAGGCGTGTACCTAAGTTTAGGATGCTTCGAGGAGAGATGTTTGACCTTGGCTTCAAGGATAAGTGAACTCCCTGGACATCTAAGGGGTAGACAGGAGTAAACTTTCAGCTTATGGCCTGGAGTGAGCGGCACACAGGCTCATGTGCCTGGCATTGGAGGCTGCGCCAGAGACAAATGTAGTAGGAGCAGGTCGGGTGTAGAGTCTTGCTTCCAGCTAAAGAAACTGGGCTCTACCTCATGGAAACTGAGAACCAGTGAAAGAGATCTCTGGCAGGAAGCCATGTAGGCTGATTGCCATCTTACAAGGATGGAGCTGGAAGTGATAAAGCAGGTGGACTGGGAGGGAAAGAGGCTGGAGGCAAGAAAACCATACAGGCGGAAAACCAGAGCGCTCACAAAGTCCGGGAAAGTAGTGGCTGCTCAAGGGTGCTCATAGAGCCTAGGATCGTGGTGGCTGCTCAAGGGTGCTCACAAGCCTAGGGTGGCAGTGGATGGTCAAGGGTGCTCACAAAGTCTGGGGTGGTAGTGGCTGGTCAAGGGTGCTCACAAAGTCTGGGGTGGTAGTGGCTGCTCAAGGGTGCTCACAGAGCCTAGGATTGTGGTGGCTGCTCAAGGGTGCTCACAAGCCTAGGGTGGCAGTGGCTGGTCAAGGGTGCTCACAAAGTCTGGGGTGGTAGTGGCTGGTCAAGGGTGCTCACAGAGCCCGGGGTGGCAGTGTCTACTCAAGGGTGGTCACAGAGCCCAGGGTGGCAGTGTCTGCTCAAGGGTGCTCACAAGCCCTGGGTGGTGGGGCTGCTCAAGGGTGCTCACAGAGCCCTGGGTGGTGGGGCTGCTCAAGGGTGCACACAGAGCCCGGGGTGGTGGGGCTGCTCAAGGGTGCTCTTCTCCAAGATTGCAGCTAAGTAGACGATGCAGCCTCCCCCTAGATGAGCTTACAGGATGAATGCTAGTCTGAGAAGATGACAGAGCTTCCGCTTGGGCTGGGCGGCTTTGAGGGCCCATGAAAAGTATTTGACAAGCATGTGAGAGTAAGGGTGAGAAGCGGGCAGTCAAGGGAAAGGACTGCCATCCTGGCATGGAGGCCAGGACATGAGGTGGCCTCTGGGCAGTGTGGCCTGCCCCCATGAGTGTCTTATCAATCCACACACTGATTGCCAAGTTCTAGGCCCTGTGCCTATATGCTGAGGAGTGGACACACAGAGATGAGCATGAGCGATGACTTTAATTCACTAATTCATTCTGTAAAGCGCAGGCTGGAGCTGGGCCAGCACCTTTGCACAGCTAAAGATTGAATGGTGATAGGTGGCATGCAGGACCAGCGGAGCGTGCAATGACAGTACGTCCCGGACCTTGACGGTCTGAGGTGCAGTTTCTAAGCACCCTGATATTTTGCCTTTTTCGTTCCTTTGTTTAGTTTTTTGAGACAAGGTCCCGTATGGCCCAGACTGGCCCAGAAGTCATATGTAGCTAAAGCACACCTTGAACACTTTACCTCCTGTGCCAGGATTACAGGTATGAGCTACCAAGGTTGCTTTATGCAGTGCTGGGGATGGAACTCAGGGCTTCCAGCTGTGCTGTGTCTCCATGCCATGGCCAGCCTTTTGGACCAGCAGATTCCTTATTGTAAAGGAGACAGTTCTAGATGTACTGTAGAGTGTTCCTCAGCATTTCTGCCTTCTGCACACTCACATGGGGGCGGGGGTGGGGTGGGGTCAGATGTTGTTCTCTGGGGAGTGAGTTTGTGCCATTCCAGGTGAACTCCATTGGTCCTGGGGTCAGAAAGGCCGATAAGAAAGTACTAACCTGAATTCATCAAGTCTAAGCAGGGATGGAGACTCCCATGATGGAACTGATTAACGTCATATCTAAGATAATCACCGAAGAAGAGGGAGGGGCTTATTCTGGCTTGCAGTGTGGGGTGTTCCATTCATAGTTGCTTGGCCCTGTTACTTTGGGCTTGTGATAAGCCAGAGCACCATAGCAAAAGCACAAGGGAGAGCAGGCCAGCAAGCAGAGAGAAAGGAATGGGTAAAGCTCCAAGATTCATTCAAGGGTTCACTTCCACACGTCTAGCAGACTTCACATGGGACGCCGCATCTTAGAGGTTCTGCCACCTCCAGAGAGTGCCGTGGTGGGGACTGTGCCTTCAACACATGGGTCTTGGGGGGCATTTTACCAAGCCATAGCAATGGGAGAGAACATTCAAGGCATAGATTATAGGATGTGCAAAGGTCCGGAGGTGGGAAGAGAGCATACAGGGAGACCAGTGAAGAAGCTGGGGTCGCCGTTGAAGAAGGCTTTGGTTAAATAGACAAGCTGTAGTGGAGGTGGGGGAAAGTGGGCAGGTTTTGGGTGTGTTTCAGAGGTGGCATGGCTATAATTCAATGACCAAAGGGCTGTAGACTCTACAGCGGCAAGGGAACCTCCCAGATATGGAGAGCAAAAGTGGCTGGAAGCTGGTGAGTCACTCCTGGGCCATGTTGGTCGCAGATACTCAGGCTAGAAGAGGGGTCTGGCTGGACGCACACCTTGAGAGTGAGCAGCACACTGATACCGAAGCCATGGGATAAACGCGAGAGTCTAGGACGGAAGGCTGAACCAGGCACAGGCAAACCAAGTGGGCGCTAATCTCCCCTGCTCTGAGGCACCAGTCACGCTTCCAGGCTCTGCTTGAGGAGGCGCAAGGTCAGAGCAGGAAAAGGCTCTACAGGTGGGGAACCAAGGAAGCGCTAGGCAAAGGAAGTAGCTGTACCACCCACGGAGCAAGGGCAAGTCAGATGAGAACCTGTGAGTGGCCCACTAACAGCAACAGGGAGCAGGGCAGCTGGTTCCCCAGACATTTGTGGGCTGAAGGGAGGAGGGTGTGCAGAGGGCAGGATGCACAGTTAGGGAGGGCTTAGTGTGTTCTCTGCCCGAGGTTTTATTTTTTTCATTTAACTCTCTGAGTTCTTCCCTGTCTGTATAGAGAGCTTTTCTTTTGTCTAGAGTATAGGTTGTCACGTTGAGGCTTCTGCCTCCACCCGGGATATTCTAGAGAGTCACCTTGTCCCCGAGTCACTTTGTAAATGCAGGTGGCCCTACGTGAGGTCATGTCCCAGGAATGGTGTGGCCCGCCAGTTTGGTTATCAAACTGGCTTGCTGATCTGGAGATAAAAGCTTTTCCTTGAAGTTTTTGCTTTGATTTTTTTGTTTGTTTGTTTGAGTTAGGGTCTCACAGGCTAGGCTGGAACTTGCAATCGTCTGACCTTGGACTCCTGAATGCCAGGATTTTAGGTGTCGAATAGAATACTAGTAAGGAGAAAAAATCCACAGGCCTGGAGAGATGGCTGGGTGAATAAGCGCACTGACTGCTATTCCAGAGGACCTGGGTTCAATTCCCAGCACCCACATGGCAGCTCATAAGCAATTGTAAATTCAGTTCCAGGGCGATCTGACACCTTCACACCATTGCACATAAGTAAAGTTAAATACATCGTTTAAAAGTTCTTAAAAAAAAAAAGATCACACATTTTTTTATTGCGTGTTAGGGGGTGCATGAACCATAGTACACACATGGAGGTCAAAGGATGCTTGTGAGAGCTACCCCCCTCTCTCTACCATACAGGATGCAGGGATCACATTCAGACGGTCAGGTTTAGTAAGGGCACCTTTATCTGCTGAGCCATCTTGCAGGCCCTGTTCTATGTCATTTTAACTTGCATTTTTCTTACTATGCACAAGGTGAGCGTGACAGACAGGAGCTTTGTACTTCCTTTTCAGTGAACAGTCTGTTCATGTTTCACCCAGTTTTCATCGTGTTTTTTGATTTTTTTTTGTATTGAATTAGAGGAAATCTTACTGAATCAAAGGAAACCTTTGCTTATTTTTTTCCCTTTTGAGACAAAGTCTCACGTAGACCAGGCTCGAATTCCCTGTGCATCTGAAGATGACCCTGAACCTCTGATCCTCCTGCCTCTGTTTCCTGAGTGCTGGGATTACACACACGCACCACCACACTCAGTTTCTGTGGCACGGGGGTTGGAGGTTGAACCCAGGACTTTGTGTATGTGAGGCTAGCTGTCTACCCCCTGAGCTACATCCCTGGTCCTGGAGGAAACATTTATGTATCAAGAAAATTTGTCTTTTTTTCTGGAATGTAAATTATAAGTCACCCTTCTTCACTGGATCAAGGAAGCCTTTGTTGTGTGTGGGGAGGGTTGTTAAAATCAATTTGTTTTATTTTATGTATCTGAATGTTGTGCCTCCCTGTGCATTCCTGGTACCCTTGGAGGTCAGCAGAGGGCATTGGATCCCCTAGAACTAGAGTTATGGACCTTGTGAACCATGGTGTGGGTGCTGGAAACCGAACCCAGGCCTCTGCCATCTCTCCAGCCCATTCTTCTGGTTCTTGCTATTACTTCTAA